AGCGGCACAAATGAAAATTTTTGCAGCACAAACGTAGCACAAATGTTTGATACCACTTTTGTTAGATTTGAAGAAGGTGTGGGGGGGACTTCACTCACATCTTCTTTTTAACAAAGATTTCTGTTTCTTTACCTCTTTCCAGCAGAATTTTCAGTTTCTTCACCTCTTTTCAGCAGATAGGTCTTCTACTTCAGCTGTTTAAACAGATTTCACTACACGGCATTCACACTGCATTTTTGCAGGAAGTGCACCTTTTTCTAGTGTAGCTCATGAGACTACTGTAATTTCATTTTGACAGTACAAATATAACTGCAGCATTATAATATTTATTATGTAGATTTTATATGGATTTTTATTTTTCAAATGAAGTGGGGAATAAAATATAGTACAAATGTGTTTGGTTGCAATAACTCTTTAAAGTATGCACCAACATTTTAAATTAGACTTGGAAAAAATTACAGCTTGGTTAAAAAACTACGAATTCCTCTGTCAAATAAACAAATGTAATAAATGAGCTTGTTTGCCCTTTCTGAAGAAATGCAAGATCTTTCAGGACTTAAGGAGTTTCCAGCTGTGGAGAACACTCTCTCAGATGGAGTGGAGGATACCTGGACACAGTGATACTTCTCAGATAAAATGAATAACAATGTATGCTTCTTCATCCACCACCAAAGGGGTGGCACTGTTCTTGATTGGAATGGGAGGAAGACTTTTATAAATTTTGACCTCTTGATCCATTCTATGTGCTGTACATGGTAGTGGGCCATACATTTTATTAATGAGAGGTTTTTGACAACTTCTGGCAGTGTAGGCTGTCAGTCAGAGAGGCCCAGATGAATCTTCAGCAGGGCTGAGTTTAATTAATATTTGGATCATGGGGGCAACAGGTAATTGCAAATATCAAGATGTATGGTATCCACAGAAGCCTTAGAATCTCAGCTAAATGCTCTCCTAAACCATTTCTACAGCAAATGCACTAAAACAGAAATTTGTTTACAGGACCGGTTTCCTCCATTGTTTTCACCACTGTAGCTCCTGGTAATGGCAACGCTAACACGATGCATCAGAGCCGCTTCCAATTTTCAGACACCATATGTTGTAAATTTTGGGCCACGTGGGTTTGGCCTTGCAACTTCTGCTTGACTGAAGTGACGTGAATGTGGCGTCATTACAATGATTCTATTGGCTCACATGATTAAAAAGAGTCAATCAGCCAAATCGGCCTATAGAAGCTAAAGCTACAGCCCCTCAGAGTTTAAAATGCCAGAGGCCATTTAAACTCCCCAGTGCATGTGTGATTAATTCTTTAAAAATATTCAAAAGATAAGCATTTGTAGGCATGTTAATGAAATTAAATAATTCCTGCTGTTCAAAACTTCAAATTTAAGCTCAAATATGGTTTCCAAGGTGTGCGAAAATTGGACATTCTGTTCAATACCTTATTAAAAATGTTTGTTTTACTTTAAAAGCATACAGTGGGGCAAAAAAGTATTTAGTCAGCCACCGATTGTGCAAGTTCCCCCACTTAAAATGATGACAGAGGTCAGTAATTTGCACCAG